CTGTGTTGGGAAGATCCCCTGGAGAAGGGAATGGCAACCTTCTTCAGTATTCTTTCCTGGAGAATCCCAAGGACAGAGGAGCCTAGAGTCCATGGGATCACAAAGAGTCGGACACACCTGAGCAACTAAACAACAACAACATGTACCGATCAAGTCATGTATCAGTGTCTGAGGGCTGCTGTAACCAAGTGACATATACAGGGTATTCTATAAAAACAGAAACGTGTTTCTCTAACAGTTCTGGGGGTGAGAAGTCCAAAGCCAAGGTGTGAGCAGGCCATGCTCTCTCTGGAGGCTCTAGGGAAGGCTCCTTTCTTGTTTCTCATAGTTTCTGGTGGCTGCCAGCAACCCTCAGCCTTTCTGGCCTATAGATACAGTTCTCCAAGTCTTTGTCTCTATCTTCACCGGGATGTCTCCCTGGTGTATCCCAATATCCCTCTTCCTAGAAGGACACCTCATCTTGACTGCATCTGCAAAGACTATTTCCAGTTAAGGTCACGTTCACAGATTCTGGGTGGACATGAATTTGGGAGGTGGGGACACTGTTCACCCCAGTATGGCAGTTAAGAAATACTAATTGAGGGCCTCCCTGGTGACTCAGCAGTAAAGAATCTGCCTGCTGATGCAGGAGACACAGGCTTGAGCCCTGCTCCAGGTAGAGCAAATAAGCCTGCGAACCATAATCATTGAACCAGCCCTCAAGAGCCTGGGAGCCACAGCTACTGAAACTGAGCTCCCGAGAGCCCATGCTCCACAAAAGAGAACCCAACACAGTGAGAAGCCCGTGCACCGCAACTAGAGAGTACTCCCCACTGAAGAAAAGCCCGAGCAGCACCAAAGACCCAGCACAGCCAAAAATAAATACGTCAAAAAAAAAAAGAAAAGAAAAGAAAACTAATTGAAAAAAGGAAGAACATGTCAAAGTCTTATGTTACGGCCAGCGCTGAGAAAGAAATGCAAGGCCTTTCTGTGTGGAGTGATCTCCCTCTGTCCGAGTTCAAACCAACATTATTCCACTCCAAGCAGAGAATACAAGCAACTCTCCCCATGGGATTCTTTCTGTGGTTTTCCTTCGGAGAGTTATCACATGTTATAGTGAACTGCTTCTCTGACATGGTTAACTAGACACACACTTGCAGTTTTAACAATTTTCCCTGCTCCACCCTTCATATTTCTTCATTCTCATGGAAGTGATGCGTTTTTTCCAGATAACTAGCTTTCCAGAATCCAGTAAGACTTCTCAATTGCCAAGGATGTACTGAGTACTATTGCTGGGGAGCCTCTAACCAGGTCTATTGCTAGAAGAATTCAACTTATAGGATGAATTCCCCTTTCCATAATCTCCCCCCTCAGACACATGATTTACATAAAATCTGTTTCAAATGAGCTCACAGGCATTGTCAGAGAAAGAAAAAGATGAAAAGTTGTCTGAAGAGGGGTGTGTGTATGTAAAACCAGTGTGAGGCCAGGTCACGTCCACTCCTGAGATTTGGGCATGTCTAGGCTTATCAGAGTAACTGAAGATCCTCCTGAGAAAGGCAGCCAAGCCCAAACTGGCTTTAGTTTTGGAGAAAAAACGTGATTCAGATTGGAAGATTCACCCACTGCCCAGGTGGTGTTCCTGGTAAAGAACGGTCCTGCCGATGCAGGAAACATAAGAGATGGGCTTTTGATCCCTGGGTCAGGAAGATCCCCTGGAGGAGGGTATCGCAACTCACACCAGTGTTCTTGCCTGAAGCATCCCATCGACAGAGGAGCCTGGTGGCTACAGTCCATGGGGTTGCAGAGTCAGACGCAACTGAGTGACTTAGCACGTATACACCACTGCCACTGGGCTGGGCTCTTTTCAGAATCATGTGACAGAGGAGGAGTGTGCTAAAAGAATTAGATATAAAACATGAACATTTCCTTAAAGTCCCTGTATCGTCCTTAAGCAAAGGCTAATTAGTTTAGCCACGAAGTCGTGTGTGACTCTTGGACTCTTGCAACCCCATTGGCTATAGCCTGCCAGGCTCCTCTGTCCATGGGATTCTCTAGGCAAGACTACTGGAGTGGGTTGCCATTTCCTTCTCCAGGGGATCTTCCCAACCCAGGGATCGAGCCCGGGTCTCCTGCATTGCAGGCAGATTCTTTACCAGCTTAGCTATGAGGGAAGCCCAAAGGCTGACTAATGGGTGCAATTCCAAACATGGTCTGCAGATCAGTGTCAGCTTGTGACAAAGTGAACACACAAACCAGGAGTGTTCCGATGCTCCCAGTTGATGGTGCTGCCACATCAAAGCACAAGATCCATGGATTTGTCTCAGTGAACTCGGGGGAGCCTACAGGTCCTAAGGTCATTCACCACTCATTACCAGAAGCACCAATATAAACCAGAGGACCTTACGGGAGGCAGAAGGATCCAGGGTTCCCTTGTGGTCTAGAGCTCCTTCCAGCCTTCTCCCCTCCTGCCTACATACTCTGACTTTGTGTCCTCTGCTTACCTTCTTAGAGTCACAAAATGATTTCTGCAGCTACAGACATCATAGCCTTAGACCAAAATCCCCACAAAGAAAGGAATGAAGGAACACAAAGCTTTCTAAGGTCCTCTCTTCTTATTTAGAAGAAAATCCAGCCCCCTCCCTGGAAGCTCCTAGGAAAACATTCCCTTGTATTGCTCAGCTGAAGATGAGGCTGGGGTACCAAGTTTCTAGCAAAAAGTAATGATAGTATCATGACTGTCTTCAGTTCAGTTCAGTTCAGATCAGTTCAGACACTCAGTCGTGACTGATTCTTTGCGACCCCATGGACTGCACCACGCCCTGTCCATCACAAACTCCTGGAGCCTACTCAAACTCATGCCCATTGAGTCAGTGATGCCATCCACCCGTCTCATCCTCTGTTGTCCCCTTCTCTTCCTGCCTTCAATCCTTCCCAACATCAGGGTCTTTTCTAATGAGTCACTTCGCATCAGGTGGCCAAAGTACTGGAGTTTCAGCTTCAGCATCAGTCCTACCAGTGAATACTCAGGACTCATCTCATTTAGGATGGACTGGTTGGATCTCCTTGCAGTCCAAGGGACTCTCAGGCGTCTTCTCCAACACCACAGTTCAAAAGCATCAATTCTTTGGTGCTCAGCTTTCTTTATAGTCCAACTCTCACATCCATACATGACTACTGGAAAAACCATAGCCTTAACTAGATGGACCTTTGTTGGCTGATTATAATACAGCCCCTCAGACTGACAGGGGGTCTGCCCTTCTCAGAGATCAGAGCATTTTCTCCTGCTTCCCGAACTAATTATGTTAGAGAGGAGGAGGAAATGATTGCTGAGTAGACGATAACCAATTTCTGGGACCCTCCATTAATATATGTGCTCCATGTGGGTTAATATGACTAATCCTCAATGGTCAGCATATTTCTGGTATATACTGGGTTCTCATGACAACCAAATACAAAGACGAAACTAATGTATTCAGCCCATCACCTAAATGCTCGGTCTTTACAATATCACAGGTACGGGTATTTAGGAGCATTCTCCCCCCATCTCCTTGTCCCAGGTCTTAACTACCATAGGCATCAAATTATTTCACTCAAGTTTTCTGGATGCAGTAATGCAGACTCTGAGTCATGACTCAGAAAGTGCTTCCACTTCCCATCACTAGAAACACCGCCTCATGCAGACCTTCTCAGTGGTCCAGTGGCTAGCACTCTGCGCTCCCAATGCAGGGGCCCAGATGCGAGCCTTGGTCAGGGAACTAAGATCCCACATGCTGTGCAATGTGGCCAAACACTTAAAACAGAAAACATTTCTCCTCAAATTCTAAAACCCTAAAACTGACTTTGCTTCATCAACAATCATTGAAATATCATAAGTCTTGTATCTTGCAATTTCAGCTTTGGCATGCAGAATTCTTTAGCCCAGACAAACAAAAAAACCAAAGACTTTTCTTGGACCCACACAGGGAGGCCACAGGGCAAACTGATGCTCTGAAATCTGCAGAGTCAGAGAAATCCAGATGGTCACTGCCAAGAATGGCTTACCTGGAGCAGAAGTTCCTGGAGTTCCCACAGCATGTAAACAGAAATTTGGGTGAATTGCTAGAGGCTGAGTGTGCACCAGCTTGAAAATGAGAATTTCCTTGGGACTATGATGGGGAAGGGGAGGGCAGCACACATTTTATTGGCTTTATGTCCATGAATCTCACCAGCTTCTCTGATAAAGATACTCTCCCAGCTCTGGCATGGGAGATGAGTCCCAGCTCTGGCATGGGAGATGAGAAGTAATGCTCATGAAACTGGCCCAGACCTTTTCTATAACATTCTTCTCTCCAGGGGGAAAGACTACCAGAAACTTGTTCTAGATCCAGTGGGGGGAGGGTGTGGTCATTTCTCTGATTCCTGCCCCCATCCAGCCTTCTTGTCTTACCTAAGGAGCATGGCAGGGGAAAAGTATAAAACACCTGTTGATCATGGGCTACAGACAAAGGCCCAGTGAAACAGACTCAATAGGAAGATTCAAGAATGTCCCTTCTCCCAGATAGACCACCACACAAACAGGGCCCCAGGATAATATGAGTGAGTTACAGCTAAAAGGGCTGTAGGACATGGGGAATCCCAAAATCAATAAGGGAGACAGAATCAAGGCCGCTAAAAGAACTGGAAGGACCTGGCACCTACAGCAAACAGCAAACACAGCTCAGCTCCCAGAAAGATGAGCAGAAAACCTCACACTCAAGGCCTACTGACCTCAGTTCCTATTACCCAATGCATCGATCGTATCCTGATTTCACCAAAAAAACAAGTCTCTCCAAAAGGAAAAGAAAAAATAAACAGTCTGAAGAGCCAAAGTAAATATCAGAATCAAATTCAGAAATGACACAGATATTACAATTGTTCAGTCATTAAAAATAAGTCTAACTAATATGTTAAATTCAAGATGTTTCTTACACAGAAACTCTTAAGAAAGAGCCAAAAGAAAATCCTAGAACCGAAAATACGATAATAGAAATGAAGATTACCTCGGATGAACTCAACCATAGACTTGTCACAGCCAAGGAGTCAATGAGCTTAAAGATAGGTCTGTATTTCCCAAACTGAAAATCAAAAATAAATGAAAACATTAATAAAAATAATAATGAACAGAACAATTAACACAAGGTGCAACTGTTCATAATGGGAATACCAGATACACAATAAAGAGAAAAAAAGAGTCAAAAAAATTAAAGAAATAAAAGCTGGGACCTTTAGAAAATTTATGGGATCCACTGAACCACAGATCCAGGAAGCTCAGACTAACCACTAAACAAACCAACCAACCAACCCACAGGCCCACCCCCGTCTAAGAAAAGACCCCAACCGAAAAGCCCATACCTAGATACATCTACTCAAACTGCAGAAAACCAAAGACCAAGAGAAAATCCTGAAAGAGCCCAGGAGGTGTGAAAGTTGGGCAGGTCCTCCTGACCTGCAGAGGACAGCCAGCCAGCTGCTCCTGGAAACCAGCAACATCTGTTTTCTCCCTTCACCCCAGGGTGGCCTGCAAGCCCTCGGATGGAGCTAGGCCTGGGCAGGAAGAGTGGGGTTTCCTGGACCGCCAACAGGGCCGGACTGGGGCTGTAGAGGCTGAGTGGCCTGGGGTGCAACGGAGGGCCGTGACTGAGGCCCTGGGGTACCGCAGAGAGGACGGACTAGACTCTCCCAACAGGGCACAGCCCTCAGGCCCAAGGGGCTGCCTCCACCACCTCTCTCCCCAGAAGAGGCCTCACCTCACGGGACCTCAGGCTTCCACGAGGGCTTGCTGGGAAGCCCTGTGACAAGAAACACCGGGGTGCTCTGGGTGCTGGAAGGGCCTAGGCCCGGACTTTCTGTTCGCAAGGATTCCGGCCCACGCCATCCATCAAGTAGACTCCAAACCTATTCAACAGGGCAACGTCTACCCCTCCCCACGGCCTTCACATCAGGGGCAGGCCAGGTGTCAGGGAATGCCTCTGGACCAAAGCCCACACCGCCCGGGCAGGATGATCCGAGACCAGCAGGAGCCGCCCGCTGAGCCCACATGGCAAATTCGGAGCCTTCCGCCGTTTAGTGGGAAACTCCAGGGCCCGAGCTGGTTGTTCCTCCAGCACCAGGTGGCCTGGGTTCATCCCAGGAGACCTGTATCCAGTGAATTGTTCTTCAGAAGTGAAAGAGAAATGAAGACTTTGTCAGCCATACAAAGCACTGAAGGTGTTCATGACCAGCAGAGCTTCCTTAAGAGGAATGCAACTGAACTGGAGGGAGAAATGGATGGTCCTGTTGTTAATACTTGGAGGCTATTACCCAATCTCAGTCATGGATGGGACAACCAGACAGAAGATCAGGAAAGAAACAGAGGGCTTGGAAGACACAATAAAGCAACTAGAACTAACACACGTATCAGTGAAAGTCAGTTGTGTCAGGCTCTTTGCAACCCCATGGACTATACAGTCCAAGGAATTCTCCAGGCCAGAATACTAGAGTGAGTAGCCTTTCCCTTCTTCAGGGGTTCTTCCCAACCCAGGGATCAAACCCAGGTCTTCCATGTTGCAGGCAGATTCTTTACCAGCTGAACCACAAGGGAAGCCCAATACACATACACAGAACACTAGTCAAAAACAGCACAGTAACCTTTCAAGTGAATTGAAAGAAACTGGAACATTCACAAGTATGTGAAATTAACATATCCTTAGCCAATGATCTGGACTCCCTTGGTGGCTCAGTGGTAGAGAATCTGCCTGCTAATGCAGAAGACTCTGGTTGGATCCCTGGGTGGGGAAAGTCTCCTGGAGGAGGAAAGGGCAACCCACTCCAGTATTCTAGCCTGGAAAATCTCATGGAAAGAGGAGCCTGGCAGTCCATGGGGTGGTGAAACAGTTGGACATGACTTAGCGACTAAACCACAACAAACCAATGAATTAAAGATGGAATCACAAGGGAAATTAGAAAATAACTTAGAGATAAATGAAAATGAAACAGACACCAACAAGTTATAGCATGCAGCAAAAGCAGTGCTAAAGGGGAAATCTGTAGCTGTTACAGATTCACATGTGTGCACATATATGCATATATATTTATATATAATTTATATATACATTTAAATGTAACATTTATATACATTTAAGTTATATCTCACATATATATTAAACAAAATATATATGCATATATATTTATATATGTTACATTTAAAAAGCTAAACCACCCAATCTAAAAAAGCTACATAATGTATGATTCCAATTAGATGACACTGTGGAAAAGGCAAATCTATAGATGTGGTAATCAGGTCAGTGGTTGCCAGGCACTGGAGAAGGGGTAAAAGGTTGATTAGGTAAAGCATAGGAAATCTGGGGGGAGGGAGATAGTGAAACTGTCCTGTATGATACTTTAATGGTGAACATAAGACCTTATGTTCAATAACCTCAGATATGCAGATGACACCACCCTCATGGCGAAAGTGAAGAAGAACTAAAGAGCCTCTTGATGAAAGTGAAAGAGGAGAGTGAAAAAGTTGGCTTAAAGCTCAACATTCAGAAAACTAAGATCATGGCATCCAGTCCCATCACTTTATGGCAAATAGATAGGGAAACAGTGGAAACAGTGGCTGATTTNAACTGAACTGAACTGAACTGGTAAGACATTAAGCATTTGTCAAAACCCAGAGAACTTTAGATACCAAAGAGAAAACCTTAAAGTATGCATATTTTTTAAAAGTCATTTAGGAGATCTGGGATCCCAGGATGAAATGCAGAATGTGACAGACAGAAGTATCTAAATGCATTATGAATGTATGAAACAACTTCACTGAAGAAAGTGGAGGAATAAGATGCCGACCTAAAGAACTTTGGAAATGAATGGCTGTTAAGACTCAAGGCAAAAGGAATTATACATAATTCCTTTACTCTGCACTGTACTCTAGCTGATAACATTTTTCCCATGGGGTATGGGTTAGCAGTTCTAACACCACCATACTGGAAAGGAACAATTAAGTAAAAGGATGCAAAACAGTGAGGGCCAAGGTTCGCACTTTTGAAGTGGGAAGTGACAGGTGAATAGGAGGAGGACTGTGGGAGTGGACTAGAAATGGAGATGTCAGTATGAATTCATGTGTAACTTATTACAGGTACAGCCGATTACGTATAGAATAATTACAGACATGTGTGTATATACACAAGTTGGTATATACACACATCTCCTTGCCCTGTCAGCTGAGAGAGCCCAGAAATAATGGCAAACACTCCAGTGGCAACTAGCACACCTACCACCCAGATCTTGGTTTCTAGTAAAATTATCAAATAAAAGAAACCAGAGCTCCTTGTAGACGTGCTTGATTCTGGAACTGGACCAGAAATTTGCTAGATGAGCCTAGAGTATATTGTAGTTAGTGCCAAAAATTAAGAAAGTTTCAAGATTTTTTAAAAATGCAAAGATGGAAGTATATAAAAAGGACCTAGCAGCCAACTGAAAGAGTTTTCCAATAACTGAAAAGGGAACAATTTGAGCAACAAAACAGATATAGTTGTGCAAAATAAATATACTTGACTCCACAATAATAAAACTGAATAAGTAAATGAGTATGGACAACAGACAAATCTCCTAAGCAGAAAAATTCTAACTAATTTATGTACATACTCTTACCCTCAAGGAAATCAAACACAACTCACTACCCTTAAGTGTGGGCTTCACACAGTGAGTTTCTTCCAAAAAGTACAGTATGGAAGTGGAAAAATAATAATTAATTATAGTTAGTGGAGAATCCTGACAGACACTACCTTAATCTGGTGATCAAGGTCAACACCAAGAACAGGTTATACTGATGGTATGCACCATGCATACGATGTGATGAGAATGGAACTTTAGTTCTCTGGTTTTTCTCCCACAAACACATTTTTAGTCATGAGAAGGATATCAGAAAAATCCCAAAATATGTGGACAAAATATGAGATTGGTTAATTCTCAAAACTGTCAAGGTCAGCCTGAACAAAAAGGTATGAGAAAATGTCACAAGCAAGATCTCATGAAAGGGACTTCCCTGAGAATCCAGTAGTTAAGACTCCAAGTTTCCAATGCAGAGTGTGCGGGTTCGATCCCTGATCAGGGAACTAGGATCCCATATGCCAAGTGGTGCAGCCAAAAAGAAACTTTTTTACAAAAATAAAAGGAAAAAAAATCACATGATAAATAAAGGTAGTGTGAAATCATGGATAGGATCCTACAACAGAAAACAACATTGGGGGAAACGGAGTAGATTTGAATAAACTATGGGCTTTAGTTAATAATAGTGTTTTAATATTGGTTCATTAGTTGTGACAAATGTAGCACATTAACATAAGATGTTAATAACAAGGGAAACTGGGTATCATATATATGGAAACTCTATTATATTTGCAGTCATTCTGTAAATCTAAAGTTGTTCTAAAATAAAAGTTTCATTTTAAAAAATTTCTTCCTGATACCTGAATGTAAGTTGCAAAGTAACGGATAACCAAAGATCACTTCAGTAATAAATGTTATTTATATACATATCACACACATTAAGCATTTTTTTAATAACTGAATTTTAGGAAGAGTTTCACATGTGCTTTAAATAACATTTTATTTCATTTCTTTAAAGAAAAGACCTAATTTAAGTAACATTTAATTTTAATTCATTGAATAACATTGAGGAAAATAATTATATGAAACCAGAACTGTTCAAGAAAATTTATGACATAGAGATGACCACAAAGTCAGCAGTTGCTCACACCCATCAGGAATGCCAGCAAACAGCCTGCCCAGTCCTCCAAAGATGTGGTTCTTCAGGGCTGTGCCATTCAGTAGCCATGCCCTGTGTGTCCTGAAAGGAAATTTCTCCACAAGGACCAGCATTCAGTTCAGTTCAGTTCAGTTGCTCAGTCGTGTCTGACTCTGTGACCCCATGAATTGCAGCATGCCAGGCCTCCCTGTCCATCACAAATTCCCAGAGTTTACTCAAACTCATGTCCATCAAGTCAGTGATGCCATCCAGCTATCTCATCCTCTGTTGTCCCCTTCTCCTCCTGCCCCCAATCCCTCCCAGCATCAGGGTCTTTTCCAATGAGTC